TTGAAATTATGGTCGGATTCTTATGGTCGAATTATTACAATGAATGCATTAATTTTGTTGTTTTGCATAAACGTCTTCTGTATTCATATAATCCTCAGTTTAATTTTCTCGAAGTCTCTCCAATGTATTGTTGTGACCTAATGATAATATTATTATTAATAAGTCATTGTCATTGAATGTTGACATGAAATTAGATTTGGTGAAACAACGAAAATTCTAATAATAATACTACTGAGAAATTGACTTTAGATGTATACATAAAATAAGCCCCAAAATAAAGTTCTATGAAAAATTAATTTTTTGTAGACACTAAATAATAATAATAATAATAATAATAATAATAATAATAATAATAATAATAATAATGACTCCTAGATTGACTTTAGAAGTTTACATGAAAGAAACTTTAGAGTAAAGGTCCGTGAAAAAAAATTCTTTTGATACAGCCTCATATTTTATTGTTATGGATATTGTATTAAAATTATTTTTCGCCTTGCCCATCAACTGGTTTTGTTTGATATTATTGCTTTTGTATTATAACTTTATGACTATCAGCAGTATTATCATCTTATTTTTTACTGTTATGAGTAGCAAGAACCAGAAAATTATGTTAACTAAAAAGTAACCAATAAAAAGCTAGGAATAATCCTGATATTTGCAAAGAACGTCAGACAGTGAAAATATGTTGAACGAAACGAAGGCCCATTCTTGGCTGCTTCACTCCATGCTCGAGTGATTACGATTATAGAAAAAGAACAAATTAACATTAGAAAAAATTCTGTCGTGAGATGCAGTAATTATTTACTGACTGAGTATTAATGGATAGCGAATAGCTTTTGCAGCGTTAGCAGAGGAGAAAGCAAATCGGCCGTCCATTTTCTCCGAACAGCCTAGTCATTTGAGAAATGTTCAGCTCATGTTTCGAAATATTACAAGACTCGCCCCTTAAATTAACACTTGAAGCTCCAAGAAAAACAAGTTGCTCTTTTAAAACAAGTTATTTGAAGTCTTCACGAATATTTATTTTTAATGATGTTTTCTCAGCAAACAGTTGAAAAAAATTAGAATTTTTTTGGTCATTTGAGATAAACTTATAATTTAAGTATAACGCCAGCTGCTGCTCCACAATGATTTAACTAAAAGAATATATATATATATGTGTGTGTGTGTGTGCGTGTTTGTGTGCTGAATCTCTCTCTTTTCTCTCTCTCCTCTCTCTCTCTCTCTCTCTCTATATATATATATATATATATATATATATATATAGGGAGAGAGAAAAGAGATGTTCAGTAATTATTTACTGACTGAGTATTAATGGATAGCGAATAGTTTTCGCAGCGTTAGCATACACACACACACACACACACACATATATATATATATATATATATATATATATATATATAGAGAGAGAGAGAGAGAGAGACGCAAACAGAATATACATTTAATGGAAGGCGTGATCTTCTTCTCCTACTACATGCCGTGTTCGTTTAGGACGTGGGCGATAATGGTTCTCCCCATAATCTCATTCTTCATACCTCACACTATCCCCCCACTCCCCTGTCGTCCGTAGACGCATGATCATTAAATAGGTTATTTATTGCTTTCCTTTGTTCCAATTGTCTTGTGCGTGTTAAATTTTCTAAACCTTGTTTCTCTGTATTTGTCCAAGAAAGCTGAACTCTCTTTTTCTTACTTTCCCTTTCTTCCATTTTCCTTAAAACGTCCCCGTTGCTTACATATTCCGTACATGATATTCTCAGTATCCTTCTGTAGAACGACATCTCTGTTACCACAAGTCTTCTTTTCGTCTGCGAGGAAATTATCCGGAATTTACTGCCACACAAGAGGATTAATATTATATAGCAATTCAGCACTAATTTACTTATTTCTAACGGAATTTTCCTGTTTCTTAATATTTGTTTCGTTTTTGGAAGTTTTTTCACGGGGCGGGGGTATATTTGTTATTCTAATCGGTGTCACATTTTCCATCCACTGTTAAAACACTTCGAAGATATTGAAACTTCTGTACTTGTTTGATTTTGACATTTCCAATTCGTTTCATGAATCTTTTTTTCTCCTGTTGACAACGAGATATTTTCTGTTTTCTTACAAATAATGGTTAGTCTTTTCTTTTCACTTTCCCTTACTAACTTGTCTTGGGGCTTTTCTAGGTTTTCTTCTGTGTCCGGCATTTTTAAGATGACGGGATAAGAGTAATGGGAAAAAAAGTAAAAAAAAACGGGAATCGGAAAGATGAACCTCGAAAAAAAATAAATAAATAAAAGGAAACTGACGCTAAAATAAGATGAAGAGCTTAACAATTAAATTATAAATTATTTAACCAAACAGATTTTGAAGGCATTTATTTTAATCTTAACAGATTTTTTCTTTTTTAAATCATAATCGCCACGAACAAGGTGATAATGCCACTAAGACGCAAGTGCTTACTGGTAATGAAAGAGAAAGCAAAGGCATTAGTTCGGAGAAAGGACAATAAAAGAGAAGTTTCCGGAAGATAGAAAATTTCTGTTGACGTTGTATTTGAATCTCTGTAGATTGTAAGTGACGGAGAAGCAAGAAAACAGAAGAGAGCTCCACAAGCGGGAAGCGCGAGAGAAGAAACTATTAGAATAGAACTCACGGTTACATCTAGTTAATTTTGACAGATGAGAACTAATTGCCAACCAAGTACGCTTAAATACATGCGGTCGACATACCGAGGAGGGAAACTCATTAGAACAATTGCCATGAAAATATTTATAGAAATGACAGAGAGAGGCCACGTGACAGCAGTGAGAAAGTCGTGAGGGCAGAGGTCAAGACCCGATTAAATTACAAACCCTTTTTTCGAGTTTATCGAGGTATATTGTGGAAGCATCCAGCCAGATATGGCGGGAATATTCAATGCTCAGAGAGATGGTAGATTTATAAATGTATATAGTCCTGGGTATAACGATAAACTACATCCAGCAGTCAAAAAAAAAAATTGAATATTTTTAAGAGCATGGAACCACCTCTTAAATACTGTTGTTCTCACATCCACTCTGACCCGAGGTTGTAGCACTGGTTCAGGTCCCAGCTATGGGCAAGTAATGAACCCCAAACAAAACATGAAAGTATAAAAATACACATTGATAATAAAAATACTAACAATATATATATATATATATATATATATATATATATATATATATATATATATATATATATACCACCAACCATACAGTTTTAAAGCAAAATGACAAGCATTTTATTGTAAGGTTAGCAACAATTGATTTTATCTGTAGTTCAAGGCATACAATTGCGTTCATAATATATTTAATTGAATTCGTATACCATATATACGCGTATAACGTGCAAAGTTACAAAACTAAAAGAGAATGATGAACGTATCGTTAGTAACGCTATACTCATTGCGTAAATTATTTATTGCCATAAACAATCGAGCGAGAAACTGCTAAGCAACTTATAAACATGGAAAACATGCATATTCGCTATATTTTTATTTAATAATACGATACTAATATGTGAATACTCCATACATTATTATTGGATACAATTAAGTAAGTTTTATGATCATGTTTATTTTTGATTGAATATATAGTTTGGTCAATAGTGTAGCCTGGGCCCGCAGTACATACACTAATTTTATATCTCGTGTGTGATGCGACCCTCTTAAAATTAGCTTCAAACTTAGGTCTTCCAAAGTATCATGATACGCGAGTATATACTGTATCGTGTTCAAAATGATTAGATTTCAGCATTAAATAACCTTAAGAGGTTGACATGCCGCTAAACAACATCAACCAACCAATAATTGTGTCAGATTGATTCTGACGCGGAAAGTTGTCTGACATGACACAGTGAACTAAGTTTCCTATCAGTAGATCTAGAAATTGATACAATATTGTCATTCCAATTTTTGTCAGTGGAAAGCTTTAGGCTGAGAAGACGCAATGAGATGCTCTCCTAATCTACAAAAAAGTCTTTTCTTACGGTGGCAAACCAGTTTTCAATGTCAGCGTACTAATTTTCTCATTCGATTTAAACCCATCTTGTAACACACATATTAGCTTTTTGTTAAAATAGATGATCTGGTATGAATTGACATATAAGGAACACGGTCAGGTGTATTAGTTCTGGTCTGTTTCACGACCACAGTAGATTTGGCGTCTGCAAAACTTTGGGCGTATATGTGCATTTTTTAAATCCTGACTCTCCAGAGATACCTTTCTTATTTTTTGTGAACTGCCATGTCCCTTCAGGATGTAGACGTCATGTATATCCCCAGATTCCTTTTCTTTATTATCCTTAAATTGACATCATTATTTAAGAAAGGTAGTAGAGTCGTTTTATGTTGCCTTAATCATCGTGTAGAATTAAGAGTTTTCTTTCTCTTAGATTGACAGCCAGCAAAGGCTAACGGCTATAGTCTATTATTCTATTTTGTCCAATTATGAAGGAGATACGGTTTCAAAAGTAAACCCAACAAATTAGGCCATAGCTTGAACTCCGCTGATTTGAACTCAAATTGACATTTCCACTTACCACGCACATTAACAGTTACATTACCCACATATCTTGTATGTAAACATTTATATATTTATTTCGCTTTTTTAATATGAAAACCAGGTTCCAGTTTACACCATAGTTACTTAATCAAGAAAGTGATTTAGGAGGTGATTTCAGCGTGCGATGCAGTTGGAAAGTGCCAGAAAACCATACCAAGTGCTTAATCCCCGCCCTTTGAGTGAAATTAGGTAGAAGGAACTGTCTCTCAATGATTGTGTTATCACGAAGTCCCAAGTCAACGTAACCGACGATTTGTACATACTGGCCTTATTCAAGTGTATTTATCCCGTCAAAAAATGCGTCCTTTCCCAGAAACTATATCAAGGGTCTGTTCAGTATAAACCACAGTTGAGCCCTGTGAGTGTTTAACAAGCACAAGTGTGCCTAAACAAGCATCTGCAACATTTGCTACCGGGTTAGCAGACAAGCATATTCTGAAATTAGGTAGATAGATATGAACAGTATGAGAAACACAGATAGATAGATAGATAGATAGATAGATAGATAGATAGATATGAACAGACTTAGAAAGAAATGTGAATACACTTAAATAGATAGAGAAATAGATAGATAGATAGATAGATAGATAGATAGATGTTACCATGAACTATAGCGGCCAACTTACATTTTAAAAAATATTTTTGTATATGGGAAAGAAAACCCGGATTTTGAGGATAACAACAAATATTGCTAAAAGTACCCTATCAAAAATGTTCAGAAATCTATCTGTATATGTTCTCGGGCATTTAAAAAAGAAAATTGTACTAGAAATATATTGCAAAAACATCAAATGCCTATCAACCAAACTTACTTTGTACCCAACGGATCATAGCTCCATTAGGACCCATTTAAATGCATAGTTTATAATTCGCTTGTAGTTTCTGGTTACTAATATTGTAGTGAAAAACCGGAGCAAAAGATTAAGGGAAAAAAAGTCTTAGTAACATTAGTGACATGCATTAATAATACAAAAATATTGAATAACGATAGTTCAGTTCGGCAATGCGTATGACGCAACAACTTGCGAACCACATTTTGACTCTGTTTCTATAAGCAGACATCCTATTCATAGTGAATGGACGAATCTTTGTTCAACAATTAGTGTGGAGAAGGTCGGACGTCTTTCTACACAACATCCACCGAGACCTACTTATATCTGTCCACAACGTACTCGTAGAAAACACCAACATCCTACACTCAGTTAACTGCAGAAAACGATTAAAAATTATGGAAGCTTTACTAATAAAAAAAACCCAAAAAACAAGAAACCTACTTTTAATTCAATCTGCTGAATGAGTTCAGGAATTAAAAACATTTCTAATGGTTAAAAAATTTACATAGGAAGACAAGCAAAAACAAAAAATAATTGAATGCACTCGGATCAAAAGATCATTTCGACAATTCTTAGACACTCTATGTCCAAAACAAAAATCTCTTGTATGCATGCAAGAAAAAATATAATAGTGACAATTCATCGCAGGATCTTTTTTGTAATCTACAATAAAACCTGTATAAATGATGGTTTGCTGCTCAAATACTCTTTCTATATCTCTTTCTCGCTCTCTCTCATTCTCTCTCTCTCACACACTCACATACACACAACTGCCTTCGCGATTCCCTTCCAGATTTTCTATTTTTTCTCAGTGTAGTTAAAGTTTAAGATCATGTTTTTTTTTTTCTTACAGAACATAGACCGTCTTCTCCGGCTGACGAGCTCCGTCTAACCGAATCAGCTGGCTATGACGCGCCTGTGATACGCAGTCTTTCCTTCTCCGGCTTGGAGCTGGACTTATTTTCAGAAGCTATTTAAACACACGCCAGCGGAAGATTTTAATACATAAAGAATGCAAAAATTACCGCTTAACACACACACACACACACACACACACACAAACACACACACACACACACACATATATATATATATATATATATATGGAACACATAAATAAACAGAAGTATCGAAATGTTTCATAACTTTGGAAAAAGTAGCAGGAAGAATATAATATATATATATATATATATATATATATATATATATATATATATATATATATATATATATATATATAAGGATTTAAGCATAAAAAATACACTGAGTTTATGAAGGCATTAAAAATAGAATACAGTAAAATAAACCTTTCTCTGGTATTAATACTTAAAATGCCAATTAATAACAAAGTATAAAAGGCAAAGTTGACATAAATATAAGTTTTGGTAACAGAAACATATCGTAGAAAAGAAGACAAACATTAATCGAGAAAGATAACAACGGAAAACATTGACTGAAATAATAATAAACACTGCATATAAAACTTCCAATAAATATAATAATCAAAATATATTAAATACATGAAATAAAAGAAATACTAATTGCGAATTATATTGAAGTTATTATATTACTTTTTATGCAATATTTACAGTTTCTGTTTCAGTTAAATTTTACATCCGTTACGTTTTTGGTGGATCGAATAAACGCATCATTTATTGTTGATTTGCATCATTTTATTATATATATATATATATATATATATATATATATATATATATATATATATATATATATATATGTGTGTGTGTTTCTTTCGTTGAATATACACACAAGGAAGATGTAATAAATTTTTTCTTTGTCTTTTTTCCAGCGTTTTGACGTTTTTCCGTTTGGTGGACGTAAGGACGCTGGAAAAAGCTAAATAAAATTGATTAAATCTTCCTTGTCTATATATTTGACGAAAGATGTTTAAAAAAGTTTTTCCCAAATATATATATATATATATATATATATATATATATATATATATATATATATTCAAATTTCACTGAAAACGACTGACAAGGTGCAGTGGTTGAGTTTATATAATTTCTCAGGCATCCGTACATTTTCTTTTCAGGACATAAATTATATAAAAATTTTCCGAGGATTTTACAAATACTTTCGACTATAGGATTAATTTCATTCCCCTTTTAACTGAACATATGGGTTGTTTTATGTATGTATCTAGAGTTATAAAGAATGTTCTATTTTTTAAATAGTCCTGCACATTGTAACCGTATTCATAGTTGATATTACTGAGTGTTGGCTTTTCTTTTCTATTAATAATGCTTCCATTATTTTTAACCTTTTTGTACATGTGAATGATGCTATTATTGAATTATCAACGAGTATATTACGGACAGAGTTTGGTAGGTTTCCATGTATATTTAAATGAGGCCTAATTGAGCTACGGTCAGAGAGATTTTACGTGAGTCTTGTTAAACATGTTGCAGTATATCCAATATAATTATTTACAAATTTGGATTGGTTAGGACATAAGATCCTTAAAGGACATGTAAATTCGTAAATAATATTGGTTGTCTGTAATTTAGATCTTACAGATCAATTTTTATTTTTGACGATGAGGTTAGCGGTTTAAAATTTTTATAATAAATAATAAATGTAATCTTTTTATTTTGTCAACTAGAGTTGCGTATATATTTATGATGTTTCTAAGTGAAGATTAGTCTTGCTTGTAGTATCTATGCATATGATGTTTTTAGAAAATATTAATGTTATTAATTTTCTCTGTATTCAGTGTTGCTATTGGTTACCTTAAAAAGAAAAGTCTAATATGGTAATCTATAAGTTGGTTTGCAAAACCGTTATTAACACGTTTTTGTTTCACATTATTAATCTCTTTAAAGAAAAGTGTACTGGAGGATGAATTCTCGGAAATGTTTAATAATACATATTTTATATCTGAGAGGACATTGACTAGTAAAATCTCTTGCTATTTTAATTTTTATGGGAACGGAAGGCAAGAAAGACAAGATAACAGAAGGAAAAAGAGAAGAAGAGAAAAAGAAATACAACACATAATGTCATTCAATTACTTCCCAACACTTACAACTTCTGACCCGTACATTGAACCCAAAACAGTGAAATACTGCTCTTTGTTCCTCCTTGATCCACACTGCTAACGCCAATAATTTATTTACATCTTCCCGCCATTTCCCTCACTTTTTGTGTACCAGGTTTCATTTACTCATTCTTCTTCTTTCTCTCAATTTTCTCTTTTCTTCTCCCCTTCCTTCCGTCATATATTTTTCTTCCTTTAGCATTTTTCATTTTTCCTCTTTTTTCGGACTTAAATTTTCCTCCCTTATTTATTCATTCTTCATTTACAATTTTTCCCTCCTTCCTTCCATTATTTTGTCCATCCTGTCTCTTTTATTTTCTTCCATTATCTTGACTTTACTTCTTTTCATATTGTCATTTTTGTTCTTTTCTTCCTTCATTTCATTCTATTTTTCTTCCTTTCTTTCCAGTTTTTACTTCCCTTCTTTTATTTCGAACTTCCTTCCATTATCTTCTTCCTTTCTGTTCCATTCTTCTTTTATTCCACCCGCCATTATCTTGTCTTTACTTCAGTCTCATTGTCGTTTTTCATTCCTTTTTTCATTATATTCTTCCTTTCTTTCCCCTTTTTCTTTTGCTTCTCCTCTTCTTTATTTCTTTCTCTCTTTATAATTCTACAATTACTTTTTCACCCTTCTTAATGATTTTTTTTAAAGATTTACTTTTTATTTCTTTCAAATCTCTCTCTCTCTCTCTCTCTCTCTCTCTATATATATATATATATATATATATATATATATATATATATATATATATATATATATACATATCTTTCTCTCTCTCCTCTGGTTATCTTTCATCATTTATTTTGTCATCTTTATTTATTTTATTTTCAGTCTTCGAAGAAAAAAAATGTCCTCCACTAACCTTTTCTTTTATTGTATTATTATTATTATTATTATTATTATTAAGGCAGGTAGTTGTGTGTTGTTATGGCTACATTTCATGTTTTGTTTTTCTAACTCACATAACATTATTAGCGTTACAAGGACAAAGTATATGGGACGTACTTATCAAGTCAATTTTTTGTATTTCTTTTAAGCTGGGATTTCCAGGGATTTTTTTTCAATTTGATGTCATGTTCCTTTTTTATTATTCCAAGCTCACCTTCTATGACTGGTACTATTCTTGTTTTCAATTTCCACATTTTTTCTATTTCGATTTCCGGGTCTTCGATAGTTTTTCAAATTCCTTGGTCGCTATGTTACAGTCCGCTGAGAAAACCATTTATAATAGTAGACAAGACTTTTTCTTTTTTTGACAATTATGCCCGGCCAATTTGCTTTATTCCTCCTGCCTCTAAAGATGGTGTAATCCCATAGAATTGTGATGTCTTCTGTTTCTGTAACCGATGCTGTTTCTGTAACCAATGATGTTCAGACCAAGTTGATTGACATCTTTTCAAAAGTGTTTGCACATTGTCCAATATAATATTGCCCACTCTAACAGGACGATTTTTATATTCATTTGGCCCAAGTACAGAACATCTCAAGATTAGATGGTCTATGGGTTCCTGATGTTTGTCACAAAACCTGCATTTTAGAGGGACATTATTATGTATGATATTTGCCTGAAAGTTCCTTGTGAAAACATTCTGGTCTTGCGCTGCAAGTATAAAGCCTTCCGTTTCAGTCTTTAATCTAGATGCTGATAACCATCGTTGAGTGTTAACTTTATCAACATCGGCTTTATTAGCCTCGTTCTGGATA